GGGGCCGGGCGGTGAGGCAGGCACAGGCCTGAAGAGAAGAGGAATTTTCAGATGTCGGCTTGGCATCTTAAGGGCCCTGCATGGCCTTCTCAGAGGCTGACATATCGTGCTGCGGGACCTCCATGAACCTCAAAAACCTCTATGGGCCCCCTCACACTTGGGGTATGCTTGCTTCCTAGTTCCTGAAGCATAAAATCTCTGAGTCTTGAGATGGGCCCATTAGACATGAACTGGGCCATCAATATACATGTGGTGAGTTGACCTATATCAAACATGATATCGGCTCAATCAGGATTGGGATATGCCCTCTCAGACCCAGACCAGGCACGGAGTACGGACCCTCCCACACATCGGATGATCATTTCATTCCTGGGATGAGTCTTCTCAGGCCTGAACTGGGCCCTCTCAGACCTGAAATGGGCCCCTCTCAGGCCTGAAGTGGACCCTCTCAGGCCTCAAATAGGTCCTCTAGGGTCTGAAAGGGGCCCTCTCAGGCCTGACATTAGCCCTCTCAGACCTGAAATGGGCCCCTCTCAGGCTTCAAATAGGACCTCAAGGGCCTGAAATGGGCCCTCTCAGGCCTGACATTAGCCCTCTCAGATCTGAAATGGGCCCTCTCAGACCTGAAATGGGCCCCCTCAGCCCGGAAATGGTCCCTATCATGTCCAAAAAAGGGCCCCTCATACCGTAACTGGGCCATCTCAGGTCTGAAATGGTGCCTCTTATGCCTGAAATGGCCCCTCTCAGGCCTCAAACGGGCCCTCTCTGGCCTCAAACGGGCCCTCTCTGGCCTCAAACAGGCCCTCTGGGGCATGAAATGGGCCCTCTCAAGCTTGAAATGGGCCCCCTCAGGCCTAAAATGGCCCCTCTCAGGCCTGAAATGGGCCCCTCTCAGGCCTGAAATGGGCCCTATCAGGCCTCAAACATGCCCTCTAGGGCCTGAAATGGACCCCTTCAGGCCTGAAATGGGACCTCACAGGCATCAAATGGGCCCTCTCAGGCCTGAAATGGGCCCCTCTCAAGCCTCAAACAGCCCCTCTAGGGCCTGAAATGGGCCCTCTCAAGCTTCAACTGGGCCCCTTCAGGCCTGAAATGGGCCCTCACAGACCTGAAATGGGCCCTCTCAGGCCTAAAATGGCCCTCTCATGCCATGGAACGGGCCCTCCTAGGCCTTGGATGCACCCCCTTAATCATAAAATGGGACTATAAATCCTAAAGGGGGGCTATCAGGCCTGAAAACTGTTTTTTTCAGTCCTATGACGGACCTTGACATTAGTGATAAAAAATTGTCAGGCTGCATAAAGTTACAGTTCGAATCGACGGTGGGCCCCTAGGATAAGAGACGGGTGTGAGATCTCACCCCTTTCACCCCCCCTGGCTGCGCCACTGCGTAAGCGGCCGGCGGCGGCGCCCAATTAGGCCTCTAATGCAGCGGCGGCACCATTTCGGCAGCCGGCAGAAACAATCCTATTCATCGCGCTAATCATATAATGGCTGAGCACGACACGGGCCACCCGCACCCGCTCGCCCCAATCATCCAATTTCGGCGTGCGAACTCGACTGACCACTTATCCCGGTGTGGTGCCGGTCTCCGGTAAATCGCGCCACCTGATGCGGTCAGTGTGTCAGAAAAAGGTGACATGACAGATGACACCGCGGCGCGGCGGGGTGTGAAGGTCGTCCGGCCGTGGCGGCCCGCCGGGTCCGGGGGTGCGTAAATCACGCAAAATTTATTACCGGTGTTCTACATGCGTTCAAAATGACAGGACCGCAACACGGCTCCCTGCTACGGCTGCCGACTGTGCCGCACAATGGCCACAATCCTGCGTGGATACGGCGCCCGTTGACGGTCCGCAGCCGGGCGAACGTCGCCGCTGCGCCACGCTAGCCTCACCGCGCCGCTCTCCCCGGCAATCGATGCGGCGTGTTCTGCGAGCGGCACTTGTGGCGCGGCTGTTGCGTGTGCGCGCGCAGTGACCGCCCGCCGACTGCGGTCAGGTGACGGGGGGGACGGGGGGGGACAGAGGGGGTGCGTGAGGCCGGCAGGGTTTCCTGGGAACAGCGGGTGGGCTGGACCGAACGCACAACGGCCAGAAAACCACAAAACGCACAAGCAACGGCCAGCCGACCCTATACGAGCGGCCGGCAAACGAAGAGAGGGACACAGCGTGGTAAAATTGTATTTATGTTATGTGCTCACATAGAATGGTTGAAGAATGCGAGCTAGAAGTGTGGAAATAATATAAAAATGTTTAACTAATTGAAACCTTAAATAAGAGAAATAATCAACATACAGTACTTTATTTTAGTTGTTTCTATTTTGTGCGTCGCTTAGTTTTTTCTTTATAATAGGCATGCCTACCTACTAATAACTTGTCATTTTTTACAAACTTCCTAGTTCCTACCTTCTATCGATGCCCACTAAGTTAAGGGATAGAAAGCTTGCGAGACTGTAGGTAAACTGTTTTCTAGTGCTACGATACCTGCATGATCTTACTAGTTAACCCACGATTCGCAGTTTTAACCCGGCAGGCGGTGGGCCTACCAGCCACCTTCCGCGCGGTGGGGGGGGGGCACTTTTTTGCCCCCCCCCCCCGTATCTCCGAAACTACTGGACGGATCCGGAAAATTCAAACGGCGTTCGATAGCCCTGTCAATTTTTTTGAGGGAAACCAAATTTCATTGACCTCGGGGTCACCGATGACGTCACAGGTCAGGTCAAGGATAAAATGTTTCACCGTTCACGGGGCTTCTAGGGAAAGCGCTATAACACCGAGTAAAACGCATTTTGTCGAAAATCAGCGATAAGGCGTCAGCTGTCTAGTACATATGTTGCTATTAGAGGTCACTGGTCATACCAGGCCAGGTCACAGGTCAGGTCACCAAAGGTCACCAAGGGTCACCACATGAGCCCAACTTTACTAAGGTTATGCGATGCATGTTTTATGGCCAGTTTTTCATTTCCAACTCAATGGTGTTGGTTATAAGACCATCAGGTACGGTGTAGGTCACTTTCTGGTGGAGGTCAGGTCAAGGTCAGGTCAAAAAAGGTCAAATTTCAAAGTTGATATTTTTGCATCAAATGGGTATTGATTCGATGCAGCTCGTCACGGGGAGTCTAATGGTGGTCTTTGTTTTGCGCTACGAGGTCTAGAATTGCTAAAAATTGAGTTTGAAAATTTGACGTCATCAATTTTGAAGTTTTTTTCGCTATAACTTGGCCAAAAAAAGAGGTATCGATCTCAAATTTGGTATGTAGATAGAAGGCGGTAGGGGCTATCACATATATTCCGTTTTTTTTTCAAAATTCGAAAAACTTTTTGGGTTTTTTGGCTATTATAATCAAAAAATCTATTTTTTGATTTTTGGGGGTCAAAATAAAAAAGTCGAAAAACCGAAGTAGCAGTTTTGTAGCACTTTTAATTCCACACCTTTTATGTTTGAAACATTTTTCTGTATCTCTAAAGCTGTAGGCCTGACAGCTCTTCCCGCGAAACCTTTTTTGGGGTCGAAAATGGCAAAAATGACGTCACTCTGACGTCATTAGCGGCCAACCTGTCATAGCCTTTGGAAAAATTTTTGGTCACCATGTGTGCTAGCTGCTCCCGGGAGGGTACTGAAAGTTTGGTGACGATCGGCGCAGCGGTTCTCGAGATATATCGAAAAAAAACTAAAGGGGGGGGACAAAAAATGCCCCCCCCCCACCGCCTGGAAGGTTAAAGGGACCCTCCCACCTTCAAAAAAGTTTATGAATTGGCATGAAAGTGATGTCGCTCGGTTCAGAGAGAGCGAAAACGAATATCTACCAAATTTCACCGAAAAATATTCACCGGTTTTCAAGATATTAGACTTTTACTTTTGTTTACTTTTTGGGATATCCGCTGTTCCTAGCGACTTTATTTGGAAGCAATAGTTTGGCAGCTGAAAGTGCGGCACTTGTTGCGCGCAAAGCAGCATATACCACCGCGTGCTACAAAACGTTTTAGTCAAACATTTAAAAATCGTTAGATATCTGCGCTGACGTCACACATTCAGAGGGTTATTCCTATGCATTAGCCCCTCTGAGTCAAAATGCTGCAATTTTGAAATTCAATATTTCCGATTTAAGGCATTTCTCGATGTTGTGAGTGCCGAAACCGGTAATTGTGAGCCAGGGACCCCATTTTGGCTATCTCAACTCAAATCTAATGTTAAGGTGGGAGGGTCCCTTTAAAATACAAGCAGTTAAATAGACAGTGACTGTTCGTTTATTTCAAAGCGCATTTATTTTTTTCCGGTTCATAATGACCGAAGCAAAAAAATCTAAAAACGAAGTTAAAGTCCGGAACCAAATCTCGCCGTCGACAGTTTCGCACTGACTTCACGTGATTGGTATAGTGACTTACGTCGGTGCCGGTGGTTCCGTGACTGTCATTGGTGCAGTGACCGGTGTCAGTGGTGCAGTGACTGTTGTATCAGTGGTGCAGTGAATGGTGCCAGTGATGTAGTGATTGATGTTAATGGTGCAGTGACCAGGGGTCAGTGGTGCAGTGACTGATGTAAGTGACGCACTGACTGGTGTGCAGTGACCAGGTGTCGGTACTGGTTCCCTGGTTTGCGAGGTGCCGCTCCAACCCTCACCGGATACCCTGTTTGCAATGTGAGACGGCCCACCGTCCAAATTATTATTTGTCCAGCACCGCCGGGACCCGGGCGCGGCGCTATGATTTACATGGTGGGCACCTGCGGATGGGCGGTTATAATTTTTATTTGGCCGGCCACTGTCAATCATGCGGTGATGCATGGTCCCAGTGTTTTTGTGCGCCAGAGCCCGCCCACCTCGCCCGGCCGGCGCGAGGGGCGGGGCCGCCGGTGGGGGGCGGAGCTCCGCGCCGGCGCCGCTCCCATCACAGCAGCCGGCCGCGCTGCGCCAATCAGCGGCCGGCCTGCCGCGCGGGGGGCGGAGTCTGGCGCCGGGCCGGCAGCCGGCGCGGCCCGGCAGCCGGCCGGCCACCAGTTGCGAATTGGCCTTGCTTCGTGCGAGTGTGCGGTGTTATCCTCCGACCGACGCCCGGCCAGCAACCACGCTGAATTTCGGTGACCTCGGGAGCCCGTACCCGGGCATGTCGGCCACTCCGGAGGCACACGAGGAGCTCAAGCAGCCCTCGTTCATGGAGCTGCCGCAGCAGGGCATCCCGGGCATGCACCCGGCCTACGGGCGCGGCCCGCTCGGCTACCCGGGCCAGCAGCACGTCTCCCAGTACGACCCGACGCACGCCAACCGGACGCTCAGCTACCACTTTCCGTCCATGCACGGGCCGCTACAGAACAGCTACTCGGGCTACGCGCCGCTGGGGCCGTACCACACGCCGCCGTGCCCCTCGCCGCCCATACGGGAGGACGGTAAGTGCCGCCGCCGCCGCCGCCGCCGCCGCCGCCGGGCGCGCGGCCCGCGGCCCCCGATCGCCGACCGATGGGCCGATCCAGGTGATCCTCCTATCGGGGGATCGGTTAACGGTGTCATGACCTGTCCCACCCTTCCCGCGTTCCTAAAATTGTCGCCTGATGGGTGATCAGTAGAGGCCTTTGTGTCGGTGACAGCGCGCGCCCCGGCCGCCCACCGGGGGGTGCCCCGTGTCACCGGTGGGGGGGGGGGGCTGATCGGGGTCTCTCGCCGCGGGGACCGCTGCAGTCGGTCCATTATCGGCTCTGGTCTCTGGGACCGGGCTGCTGCGTCCGGCGGACGGTGGGAGGCGGCCCTCCCGGCCCTCCCGTCCCTCCCGCCGCTGTTGATGTCCTCCCGCTCTCTCTCGGCCGGGCGCGGCGCCGCCTTTGTTTTCCCCTTGGATCGGTCGGCGGCCGCGGCCGGGCGAACAAAACAAATGTACCGGCTAACGGCCTCCGCGGGCCGGCGGACAGGGCCGGCGCCGGGCCGGGGCCGGGGCCGGGGACGGCCGACTTTTCCGACCCGGGCCACCGCCGCCCCACGGGAGGCTGGCTGTCCCAGGTGGGTCCCGGCTGGGTCCCGGAGGTCCTCGGAATCTCACAGCGTGCCCCGCCGTCCCTCTGGAAAATTGGGGATACTTAGAATGATGAGGTGACAGTGATTGACGTGAGCCGGCGAGAGGTGTTGTACCCCAGTCTGGTGGTCGCCCTGCACGTAGTGGATACCGGACCGGTTCTATCCGCACGCAGTACCGCATCCTCACTTTTATTTGAGTATCATAGCATCATTGTACTTACACAGCACATGGTACGGATCAGCCTATCGGTGCCAATTACGGTCTGTCACAAATGTGTCACTCTGACACTGACATGATACCCGAACTGATCTGCTGTAATCGGGTCGTAAGCTGAGGTCCGTGGCCGGGACTGGGCACCCGACTGAGCTGACCTGCTCACGTGGTGGCCGGCCAGCCTCCGAAATCCTGTGGGAAGGTAGAGTCACGTGTGCCAGAGTGGGCACCCACGGGACGAGAGGCCGCGTCTGTCGGCTCGGCGCAGATTTATCGCCAACTGACCCCGGCCGCAAATTGATGGTGGTCCGCTCTGCTCCCACCGCCCGGCCCGGACCAGAGGACCGGGACCAGAGGACCGGGAGGAGAGGACCGGGACCAGAGGACGGCGGCCGTGTTCCGCGGCACCCACCTGTCGCCGACGCCGTTATCGGCCGATCGCGGCGCGGTCCGACACATTCCTCGGCCGTGTACGGACCGGCTACACACGCCGCCGGACCAAACGCGGGCCGCGCCGGGCCGGACCATGTGGTCCGGCAGACTGTGCGGTCTGACATGGACTGTAAGGAGAGGTCTGAAATACAGACCGCACGGGATGTTTGTGATGTACGGGCTGGAATGCAAGCAGCCGTTCATAAAGGAAACTGAGATATAGAACGCAACAACACCACCGTCTTTGCCCATCTGTGTGGTCCCATTTGTCAGAATACTGAGGCTCACAATGTGTTAGCCAGTGTCAAAGGGTCGCGCCGAAGAAGCCTGTGGCCCAGTCAGCGCTGTCTCAGACGCTGTGCCGTACGGCGGGGTGACATTTGACAATGACAACTGTTCGTCTCCTGCCATACGCTAGCTTGCTCGTGCCGTTCACTGAGATGTGTAATGCAACTGGCCAATGTAGACCGGTGCTGTGCATCCCCTGCTTCGAGATGTTGTTGGATCGCTAGAACATGATAGTCCACCCATCCAGCCGGACACCAGTAGCACAGCGTGGCCTCCGCTTTGTATCAGAGTCAGAGTCTGAGTCACGCCTGAGTCAGGGCCGTGGGAGGATGGCGGACTGACTCAGCGCGTCATCCGCCGTCATCGGCGCCAGCTGCTGCGGCGGCCGATGGCGGATGTTTCCATCAGCGCTGACGTGGCCGGGAACCCCGAGTCGGGGTGCGCCCGAGCTGCTCCGCTGGACTGGACTGGAGAGACGCTCAGCGTGACCCGCGCCGAACGGAAAATGCGGCACGGAGAATGCGGCACCAGCCGAGAACTGGCGGACGGGAGGCGAGCACTACTCCAGGCACTTGGTGCCCTTACGACCGCACACCAACTGTCGAACAGAGCCGTCTGTTTTAGAGCCGCGCAGTCCTACTTCCTACTTTATGTGGCAACTGCTGGGTCGGCCAGCGTGCGGCCCAGAGCGGGTCCCGAGGCCCGAGCTGCCGACCACGAGCTCTCCTCCCCTGGTGGACTCCAGCTCCCCTCCCCTGCTGGACGCCAGCTCTCCTCCCCTCCCGTCCTCCAGCTCTCCTCCCGTGCCCGCCCACCGCGGCTGTACCGGCGCCGGGCCAGGACGGGCCGTGTCAGCCGGGCAGGGACGCCGCGCCGGCCCCGTGCGCTCCTTCACGCCCACCCGAAATTACTCTGACGCCAGAGCACTGCCGAAAGTAATTGTCTAATGAGCTGAACGGGTTGTGTCGGATTGGATATGGGGCGGCCGGCCGGCCGGCGCGGCGCGGCGCCCATCGGGCCGCGCGGTGGTGGCCGCCGAGTCGGAGCGCGGCCCGGGCGCCCCTCCGCGGGCGTCACGGCGCTGTCTGCCGTATCAGGTGAACCACATGTGTCAGATGTGTCTGCTCCGTGTCTCCCGGCCACCCCGCCGCTGTCTGCTGCCCCCAGAGGTATCAGTCACACGGGCAGACACGCACAGTGATCAGTCTCGCCTGTCAAACCTGTACGGGTTCATAGGGCCCAGGGCTCGCGCAGACCGTCTGTCATACCTTGTAGGAGCGATACAGGTCATGAATCAATCTCAGAGGCTGTCGTATTACACATAAGTACGGATGAGGCTTTGTGGTGTGGATAAGACTTCTGCTGGGTCGTGTGGTAGTGCTACCGTGTCCTGGTGACGCGCCATAGCAGGGCCGTGTCATTGTGCCTAATGTAACATAGGGCCGTGATGACGAACGGTTGAGCCGTGATACCGAGACGTGGTGCGGCTTCCTCCGTGCTGTTTATTGGGAATTTGTCATGATGTGGCTCCATTTTGCTGTGTTTCCATGACGTCAAGTCGTGTTGCCCGTATTCACATGCCACTATTGTCATTCCTTCCGCATGCGGTCATGCGTTGTTGCCATGGTGTTGTTTGTCATGTGTTACTTGTTGCCGTGTTTTCTTGCCTCCATGTCCTGCTGCTGTGCCGCCATGTGTTGTTTGTTGTCGTTGTTGTCGTGCCTTGCCAAGGCTGCCGTTGTTGCCGCTCTGCTCGGTGGTGCCCGGATAAAATGAACTCCTGCAGGGATAGGCTATGTCAGAGGACGGATAATCAGTCCTGCCAGAACGTTACTCAGGAAATCTAGGATGGGAGAAAGAGGGGCTGGCTGTCAGCTGGTGCTATCTTCTCGTGCGACTTGGCTTTGAAAACGCGAATTGCGGTAATGCGATGTTTCCATTTCTTGAGTCACTCGACGAGGCTCCAGAATGCCAAAGTTGGATAAAAACAAATGTGAAGGAGCAGATGTATTGTTATTCGCGAGAAAGTGATTCAGTTGTCTTTTAAAACGTTATAAATGTGTTACCTATCATTTAAATAAAACATGTTTAAACACAATTATTTATATGATTCGCCCATTTAAAGCACCTGAATGAGTGAAACGAGATAGAAATGCTGAATGCGTCTGTCTGTAACACACACCGACAGACAGTTGATTTGCTGATTAATTGAATAATGCGCATGTTTCCCGCACATTACGTAGGTTTCAGAAAGATTAGCCAGTTATAACGATAACACGATAACGATTCATAAAAATATAATTGTCGTAATGTGGTGTCGTTAAATCCCATCATTATTTAGCAGACGGTTATTTTCAGCCGACTATTTCTGGGTTTCCAAATCTGTGCACATGGCTTATGGTCAGACTTTATTTGGGAATGTGTATTACCTAGCTGGCTGTAAATGAGCCAGTGTGGGTGGCATGGTGGGCCCGTGAAAATCGCGGCTGGGGCAATTCACATCAGGGATGCGGAGCCGTGGAAATTTCAGACGGCTCCGGCTCCGGCTCCGGCTCCGGAGAAAAAAATCGGCTCCGGCTCCGGCTCCGGCTCCGGCTCCGGTTGAAATGCCATGGCGGCTCCGGCTCCGGCTCCGGCTCCGAGTAAAATGATCCGGCTCCGGCGGCTCCGGCTCCGGCGGCTCCGGCTCCGGCTTCTACTCAGTACATCCCCTATGCGATCAATTAAATACGGGTGGAAGAAAAAAGGCGATGGGATTGGTACACGTTGCTTCTGTATTTGTATAACAAGGCTATTTTGAATACCACATTGTTTTACGTCTTGTACTGTCAAACCGAACTAGGTAAATAATAGTTTCCTCTTAAGAAAAGGAGCCGGAGTCGCCCCCTTTTTTGACGGCTCCGGCTCCAGCTCCGGCTCCGGGCTATATTGTTTCACGGCTCCGGCTCCGGCTCCGGCTCCGGGCAAAATATGCCGACTCCGGCGGCTCCGGCTCCGGCTCCGGCTCCGGCTCCGCATCCCTGATTCACATTGTAGGTAAAATGGTATGCTCTTCATACAACCATTCTGCATACTGCCAAAAAAGAGTATTCTCAATGATTTTTTTTTTTTGTAGGAGCGAATACCAAAGTTTACAGCTGTCTTGCATACACTAGGCATGCGTATTCACAAAGGTACGGCCTTGATAGGACATGTCTGAAATATGTTATTACATATTATTCATCATGTATTTTACGCCAGTACCTACTAATTAATAAAACACCCAATGGACCCGGCCTGACATGCCAATGACATGTCAATCGTCAACGAAGGAGCCCGGGAAGGAGGAACTGAAAGGATATACGTGCTGTCGGCATTGAAAAGGAAACTGGGCTAGGGAAGAGTCTCACAGTCAGTGCTATACAGTGACTCAACCATCATGACGGCGGCATTGACCAATGTCATGAGGACATAAATAAGCCCAGAGGCGTCAATAGAACAACAGGATGGCATGAACAATGCCGCCTTCGAGTGTCCAGACGAGTGTTTAGTGTGCAAATAAGAGTGTTTGATGGTATGGGGATCGTCACCACGAGAGCTGGCGAATAACGTAAATTATCTATCGCCAAGAGTCAACATATTTAGAGCAACGGAGAGTTGTCGAACCGAATGTTGCTAATCGTTATGTCAAAATGACTTTGTTCAACTTCAATGCAATATGAATATTGCACTTCACGAACGGATGATTTAGTTTTGTTTTGTCATTGTTTCACTTTCGATGCGTCACTTCCTTTGCGCCATGATTGTGAGAGTGAGTATGGTCACGGGTGATCGGCCTCGATGATGTTTTATATACCCTGGGCCTCGATAGTCAGGTACCCATTTCGGACCGTCAGGACCCACGCGCCGCTCCCGACGACCGGTTCCCTCAGCCGGCACCGACACCCGAAATAACCGAATCATAGTTCGATCCACCACTGGCTATCAATAACAGCGGGCTAAGCCATTGACTCCAACTATACATAGCTGACAGCACCGCTAATTTAGTACCTAATCGCCAATTGCGAATGATCAATATATGCAATGTGCATGTGCCTTGAGACCTATGAGACTGATTTTTACCAATGCTGCCAATCTAGGTACAGATGTCCAGATTATCTCTCGCTATGCCATTTAAAATGATGTGGTCCGTATTCTAACATAACTATATAACACGTGAATGCTTATCCAACCAATCCCGTTTGACAGTGCCATACAATGGTCAATGTGTGATGCGTGTGGTCCCAAATTATATACAATAAATGGAACGGAACCGAAAAAGCATAGGCTGATTGTGCATAAGTTGCCGTATAAATCCACATTTATATGTAAGATTAACCGACCGCGACACTTGTTGTACTACCCCATTGCATCTGTAGCTGCAATGGTATATCGTGCGTGGTCGCGGAGAGAACTTCCCACTATCACGAACGTATAAGTATTCAATCCGGCACAGCAAGCTGAGCTGTCAATAATAATATCAAAAATATCATACAGTTCAGGTAAAATAATGTTGAAGAATTGTTAGCTGGCCTTTGATAACGACAGCGATCAGAAGCAGACAAAATACCCTAATTTAATTAGCTTCAATTAAAAGATGGATGTAACTTTTCTCCTTCAATGGCACCATAGATGTAAGTTATCCTTATAGTATTTGCCTGAATGACATATGCACATGTTATCACGAGGAAAAGATCCTATTTGTGTCCCTTCGTTTTTACCAGTAGAAAATGTAAATATCTACCCAAGTCTCATGAACCATTTTATATTTTTTTTAGTGAAAAAATTAGTCAAGCTTGGACTTAGCTGGTGTACGACCAAACTCAACAACTGTTTGTGTGAATGCTTATTGTATGAACTGTACATCATGAAATTATACTGTCAATCATGTGAAATGTGAATACATCACGTTCACCACTGAGCCGGAAACATAAGTTTTTTCCGTCATTTAATTTTTTTTCAGTTTGATAACCGCGACTATAAATTACTAGCAGTCAGTCTCATTTAACTACTTCATGCAGTGTCATTGTGATGAACCTTCCCTCGACTTCTTCAGTGGTATGCACTGTGGGTGTCTTCCTATTAAAATCTGACATTCTCATGAAAGCACAGACACCATCGCCACAACGGTGTCATTAAAGCAATATTCTGATTGTTCCTAACCGCAAGTGCCAGTTAACGTACTTCAATGCTTGTTTTGGTCAGCAATCAACAATAATACCCGGGTGTGGGAGCCACGTTTAAATTAGATTACCATCCAAACTTAACTATGTGATCGTGCAACTTCACCAAACCTTCGTGACAGCCTTCGCATCACAAAAGATAATTTCACTGACCGTGCTTACCGTGAAGTATTGACTCCTTTGTCTCAGCTCTTTTGGGCTAGTCATTGACTTGTGTGACAAAATATGTACCTTAAAGGCACTGAGCGTGCCATTCAAATATGTATATCAAAATATTTTAATATTCGTCGTTGCCTGCCGGTTCCAGCCAACCCATCGACGTTCTTATGTTGTGCTTTTTCTTCAGTTTCACTTTTTTGCACAGTTTCTCGTAATGAGGCCCAGTCTGCCCGATTCCCCCTCCCCCACGACCTCCGGGCTGCCCCAGCTCACCACCTCACCAGCGCACCAGTTAACCATTTCACTAGATCACCAAATGCCGCCATAGGCGCGGGAGCCGGGGGGGCAGTGGGGGCAGCTTGCCCCCCCCCAACTCTGGGGCCGTGGGGGCGGTGCCCCCACAGCTTTGAGACGGAATACCATACTTTGTTTTGCAAATGTTTTCTTTTTTTGTTGAAAAAGCCGAGGGGTGAAAAATAAGTGGCCTAAAACCGGTGAGAAAACTAGATTTGGGGGTACCCTAGGTTAATCTCTATTATGGTGTGCCCCCCCAGTCGGAAAGTAGTTCCCGCGCCCCTGACTGCCGCTCACCAACTCACCAGTTCACCTATCCGTTCTCAGACGACAAGCTGACCGAGGGCGGTGTCAGGGTGAACGGCAAGGGCAAGAAGATGCGGAAGCCGCGCACCATCTACTCCTCCCTGCAGCTGCAGCAGCTCAACCGGCGGTTCCAGCGGACGCAGTACCTGGCGCTACCCGAGCGGGCCGAGCTGGCCGCCAGCCTGGGCCTCACCCAGACACAGGTCAGTACCTATATATACTTACACCTCACTGGCCGGCCAGCCTGGGCCTCACCCAGACACAGGTCAGTACCTATACTTACACCTCACTGACCGCCAGCCTGGGCCTCACCCAGACACAGGTCAGTACCTATATGTTATACTTACACCTCACTGGCCCCCACTGCACCACCCAGCAGCCGAACTGCCCTCTCTCAGCCAATGAGTAGAGCTGAATGGAGTCATCAACTCGCATAATTCACGGATATCTTGTCAAAGCAAATGCGCCTACCGGACGTTCCTGGCCTTGTTGTAGGCTGCTGGGACTGCCAAGCGAGAGGCTAAACGAGACATTATTCCTTACATGCGTGTGCCACTGTTTGGCAGTTGAGGGACTATCGCTGTAAAAGAATATGAAGTCACTTGCGCTGACTAGTGATCAAAATACGGGACCTGAGATGACAGGTCGATAAGCGATCGACATTCTCCCGGCAATGAACACCCGGTACTGTCCGAAGATGAGATGAGCTATAGAGGGATGAGATGAGACGGGCCGGCCGGGGCTGGTGGCAGGCGCAGTACCGAGGCGCGGCAAAAAGGTGCCCTGATCCGGCCCGATCGCCGGCCGGCGCGTGTATTGTTCCTGCCGGCCCACTCCTGGCGCGGTATTGTCGGCAGCGCCGCTCAAAAGACGACAGTCAAAGCGAAACGGCCCGCCGACATGCCCAACACAAAGCGGCTTTCAGCGGCGCCGCCGCCCCCGCCGCCGCCCCCGCCCGAGCTCGGCGCCGGGTCGCTCCGAGCTCGGCGCATAGCTGCATGTGCGGCGAATATGCCGCGTCACCGGCCGTTGGCGCGGGCTGCCGCCGCCGGGCCGCCGTTTCGTGTCTGTCGGCCATTGGCGGCGGCGGCCGGCCCAGCGCGCTGGCCGCCCGCTGCGGTGTCGTCGCGCGCAGCAACTCGGGGTTGTGGTGGGAACCGGCGCCGGCGGAATCCGGGAGCAGCCCCTGACCCGCCGTGACCCGGCCGGGCCCGGGAGGAGCTCGGGGCCGCTGCGCCGTCCTCCCGCGGCCCTTGGACAAGGCGACACGGTGTCCACTCTCCGACCGGCGCCGACCATGTTTACGACGCCGTAAAACCGTCCGCCTCCAACTCGCGGCCCCCTCCGATCCATAACCGATCCGCGAAAATCCATGAATGCTGATTAACCACCGGCCGCTGTCAACTCCAGCTCTACCAACTCAATTTAATGAGCTGAAACTTTTCGGAAACTGGAGCGAGTGGGCCGGCTCGGATTTGGCCAACTTGGGCCAGGTGCCGGCGTCTCAGAGTGGCGGCTGGTACGGCGGGCCGCCGCCGGTGGCGGCGGTGGCGGCCTCACGTCCCGGCCCTGACATCCGCGCCGCCGTCACGAGCCGCCGGGACAGAGTCACGTGCGCCGCCGCGCCGCCGCCGCCGATCGGCGCGTTCCAATAGAGTAAGCGGCCACGAGCGGGAGCTGAGGCCGGGCCAGGTGGTCCGAACGATCTGGAGACGGCGGCTGTGCGCGGCTGAGCCGGAGACAGGTGACTGTGCGCGGCTCCCGGACACTGTCCACCGGCTGCCCGGACGGGTGGCGTCAGTAAGACGGTCGCCGGTGGCTCCGCGACCTGATTACCATGAGCGAGTCGTCGGCGCCGGCGGTGTTGTGCGGCGCGGGCGGCAGCGGCCGGCGGGGGGCGGCGGTGATCACAGGTCGGCCGCCCCCGCCCCCGCCCCCGCCCACCGGCGGCCGGCCGCCGAGCGCCGCTGCCGCCCATCTATCAACAGGCGGCCCCTTTGTTCTTCCTAAATATTCATTGTCGGCCGGCGCTGCCGGCGGCAGTGGGCCGGCGTCGCGGCGCTGTCGCCGCCGCCGGAGGTGCGCCGCGTCATAAACGCGCCGTCAGCAGCCGCCGGAGCCGCCGCGCGGCGCGGTGTCCATTTACAGCTGCTCTTGGTGCTGGTTTATTGTTATTGCCGCCGCGCGGTCGGCCTTGTCCGGAGCCGGCGGCGGCCTGCCGGACAGTTTCCGTGGGATCCTGTAAAACGGCGCCACCGCCGCCGGCACCGGGCGCCGCCAGCGCCGCTTCTCGTCCAATACTTTTTACCGGCCCCGCTCCTCATCATGACTGTATAGTTTTATTCGCTTCTTTAATGGCTCCCACATAATGGTTTTATTGGAGTCGGAGGCTCGGTGGCGGCGGCGGCGGCTGAGGCCGTATTTGAGTTGGTTGCAGCGGCGGCAGGCAGCCGGCGAGATGAGGCCAGCAGATAAACGTCCGGCTGCCGAGCAGGCTCGGCAGTCACCGGGAAAAACGTGTGAACGCCGCCGGTGGGAGGGCTGCTAATGCGGCGTCTGATTTAGGCCGGCCAGGAAGCGGCGGCGCGGCCACTGTAAACACTGCCCAGTGTGATTGGGAGGAGGGCCCTCTGGACGGCGGCGGCCAGTTTATCGTCCGCTGCCGCCGCCACCGTGCAACGGTGCCGCCCCCGGCCGGCGGCGCCGGCTCCTCTGCCGGGGCCGCTCCTCTGGCCCGGCCGCTCCTCTGCTGGGGCCGCTCCTCTGGCCCGGCTGCTCCTCCCGCGCTGGTCTGAGGCGACCAGCGGACCGTGTTTGGTGGCCAAAGAGCCGTGCTCCGGGACACCAGGTACCATCATTTACGGGCATGTCATCGCCAGCGACGTCGGCTGGACTCTGAAGATGACGCAATAGCGCGGTGCGGGCTCCAGGTGTTACGCCGCTGCTCTCTCTCTCTCTCTCTCTCTCTCTCTCTCTCTCTCTCTCTCTCTCTCTCTCTCTCTCTCTCTCTCTCTCTCTCTCTCTCTCTCTCTCTCTCTCTCGCTCTCGCTCTCGCTCTCGCTCTCGCTCTCGCTCTCGCTCTCGCTCTCGCTCTCGCTCTCGCTCTCGCTCTCGCTCTCGCTCTCGCTCTCGCTCTCGCTCTCGCTCTCGCTCTCGCTCTCGCTCTCGCTCTCTCTCTCGCTCTCGCTCTCGCTCTCGCTCTCTCCTGTCCAGCTGCTGATGTGTTATACCGTTGGGACGTGAGACTGCGCGGCCGACCCTGGGAGGGACTCGTTCCGTCCCGTAAAGCATTCTCGTGTCTCCGTACAGCATGGGTACCAGCTGCTACCAGCTGGCTCTGTTCATATCCCTGGCTTTCAGGAGCGCTCACTGACGAGGCGACTCGAGCGTGCAGCTGCAACCGACCGCCCCCACACGACCGGCGCCTTTCATGGGCTTCACCCGCTCCTCTCCGTCTGCCCTCCCTTCATACCCGTCCGTCCTTCCCTCCATTCCGTCCCTCCTCTCTCTCCATCTCCCTCTCTATCTCTCTCTCTCTCTCTCTCTCTCTCTCCAGCCATCCCAGCCCGAACAGTACCCATACCAGGCGCGTGAATACATAACAGTCTCGCCTCCTATTTTTCATTATGACCGGCGTATTTTGTGTTATTTTTCTGTTCATTCTCCGCCACAATGGGGTGGGAGGAGACACGTCAGCAGAGCCCTTCTCATCTGATGGCGGCCCGGCGGCCCCGGCGGCCCCGCGGCCCGCGCTCGCCGGCCGGCCGGACCGCTCGGTTCTGGGACAGACTCCGGTCCGGGACCGCCGCTGGCCGCTCGCTGTCCGGCGCCAGTCACGCACGTGCTGCTGCCGCTGGACAGGCTCACTGCGGCCGCTGCATCCCTGCCTGCAGTCACGACAAGCAGACAATTGAGCGGCACAATGGACTGAGTCGGACAGTGCGGGATGGACTCGGTCGGCCCGTAAGAACCCGTCCCCGCTGGCGCACCATGTCGAGTCACCAGCCACGTGGGGGACATGCGGCTCGATTTCACGGTGTTTGTTTGGTCCGAGTTTGGAACAGGAGGCAATCGTTCACGGGGCGTGAGCGGTCCTGGAATTTATCAGCTGGCCGGAGCTACTGTCCGCTGCTGCTGCCCACTGTTCGCTGTTCGCTGCTGTTGTTCACATTCAGCTTCCCGAAGCTAGTAGAGGCTGCACCCTGGCTGAGCGCATCTGAGAGCCACGCAGCAGCTAAGACTCGCTCTCAGCAGCAGTCGAGTAGCAGCCGAGCAGCAGCCGACTCGGCTGCCTCATTTCGCAGCCGGCGCGGCGGCGGCGAGAATAAATCGCCCTATCGCCGTCCATCTGGACGCGGCCTCTGCAATAGCGCCGCTTCCTGCGATAAAGCAAACAGCGAAATGGAACCTGTCGCCCGGCGGCAGCTGCAGCCGCCGGCGCGGTCACTCCGCCGCTCCGGCACTCTGCCCGCTCTCCGGCCGTCTCTCCACCCCCTCTCTCCCTGTCCTGTTCCTCCTCTCTCTCCCTCCCTCACTCACTCTCCCACTCACTCTCGCTCGCTGTCTCCAGTCGCACGCGGCGCATGGGCGGCTTTGTCGTTCAATTTTTCACCGTCGGACGGCGCGGCGGGGCCAGCGGCGGCCGAGAACAAACGCTCGGCGGCCGGCCGCGCGGCGGCGCTCTAATGACAGTGGCCGACGAGCGGGCGGCGCCGCGCCGGCGATGGCGCAACGATAGCGTGGACGGCGAGCTGCGCCGCTCCGGAGAGTCGGACAGCTCGCAGTCGTGTCCACCGGCGGACAGCCCGCACTCGTGCTGTCTGGACCGCCGGACCATGGAAACTTTGGAACATATAGGGCAATCCATGGTCCATCGGATAGTCCATGGTAAGACGGATAGCCGATTTCGCACTGTCAAACGACGGACAGTGCCTGAACCGCAGCACAGTGCACTTGTATTTCACCGGACACTCTCTCGGGGCTTTGCGAATAGGCCACGCGGTGTGTCGGCCCGATCGCTCCCGTAGCGTGCCGTCCGATCCTGCCTCGGGGCCGATGTGGGTCGACCGGCGACTGTTTGCTGCTCGATGTGTGTAAAAACATGCAGCTGATCGAAGCGACCGGCTAAACCGACTGGGCTGCCTCTCACCGCGATCCGCGCGACGGAGGATGGCTGGTGCTAGCGCCCTGTTAATTGCTGCAG